TAATATTGTGAAATATTATTTTGATGTAAAATAACGTTTTTCTGTTTTAATATACATTAAGCTGTAATGTATTTCTGTGATGCGCAGCTGTATTTTCAGCATCATTCCTCCAGTCTTCAGTGTCACATGATCTTCAGAAATCAGTATAATATGATGCTTTATTATCAGAGCTGGAAACTGTTGCTGCTTCATATTTTTTTGGGAACCTGTGATACTTTTTTCAGGATTCTTTGATGAATAAAAAGTTAAAAAGGAGCATTTATTTAAAATATAAATCTTTTGTAACAATATACACTACAGTTCAACAGTTTGGGGTCAGTGCATTTTTATTCTTTTTTTTGAAAGAGATTAAAACTTTTATTCAGCGAGGATGTGTTAAATAGATAAGAAGTGATAGCAAAGATTTACATTGTTAGAAAAGATTAATATTTTGAATAAATGCTGTTCTTTTTAACTTTTTATTCATCAAAGAATCCTGAAAAAAGTATCACAGGTTCCCAAAAAAATATGAAGCAGCAACAGTTTCCAGCTCTGATAATAAAGCAGCATATTATACTGATTTCTGAAGATCATGTGACACTTTATACTGGAGTAATGATGCTGGAAATTCAGCTTTGATCACAGAAAAAAATAATATTTTAAAGTATATTAAAATAGAAACCATTGTTTTATATTGTAATAACATTTTACAAGATTACTGTTTTTTTCTGTATTTTTGATCAAATAAATGCAGCCGTGATGAGCAGAAGACACTTCTTTAAATAACATTGCAAGTCTTTCTGATCCCAAACTTTTGAACGGTAGTGTGTGTATATATATATATATACTTAAAAAAAATAGTGCCAAAATTGACATAAATGCTGTTACCTTGCTAAAGACATAATTATATAAATGATATCACACACACACACGTATAATATTCAAATTTGAATTTTTCCTATCAAATGTTTAAAATCATGTTATCAAAAGGCACCAGTTTATCACAGAAAAAAATAATATTTTAAAGTATATTAAAATAGAAACCATTGTTTTATATTGTAATAACATTTTACAAGATTACTGTTTTTTTCTGTATTTTTGATCAAATAAATGCGGCCGTGATGAGCAGAAGACATTTGTAAGTCACTGTGTATAAAAGCGTCTGCTAAATGACTAAATGTAAAAACATAAATACTAAAAATGCACATAAAAAACTTATGCGCACAATTGAGTAGGATAAGCATTTTATCCGATAAGAAAAACTGCACATAAACTACAATGGAAACACATTTACCACAATTCATCATATATGAAAATTATTATATTCAGTGCCAGTTTATCAGGAAGTGACGAATATGTTCTCTTTGACTCGTTGGATGGAAACGGTGTTTTATTCGCAAATGTTTTATGTGATATTTTCTGTTAAATTCACATCTTTGGATGGAAATGGATATTTGCATTACAGTTCTGTGTTTTTATGATTTAAAGCTCACCCTAAATATGAAAATGTGCTGTTAATTTACTCACCCTCAGATCATCCGAGATGTAGGTGACTTTCTTTCTTCAGCAGAGCAGTAAAGAAGATTTTTAGCTGAAACTGTAGCCCTTGGTGATCCATAAAATTCAAGTCAGCATCTACCGTCACTTTCAGAGTCAAAAAAATCATATCAGGCAACACAAAATTAATAGCCGTGGCTCCTGACGATATATTGAGGTCTTATGAAGCGAAACGATCAGTCTGTGCAAGAAACTGAACATTATTACCTGTAATCCAGAGCCTCAGGCAAATGGGGAAATATTATTTTTTTCCATTCTTTTCGGACAATTCGATTCTATTACCTGGTTCAGTTCACTAGTTCGTTTACATAGTCACGCAATGACGTAACATATACGCAATTATATTATTAAAGCACCCAATAATGATGTGAAATGCAGATGTTTTATGTTTCTAAAGCATATAAAGTGAATAAACTAGTCTTCATCAGCTCACCTTTTTACTTAAACTGTGAGAAACAGTTTCTTGCTCAAACCGATTGTTTCACTTCATAAGACCTCAATATATCGTCAGGAGCCACGGGCACATTAAGAGCTCATACAACCATTACAAGACTTTTAATCATTTGTCAAAAGTCATTTTCTTTTTAGAGTCGGCACTTGATTAAAAACTATATTAATTCAGATTAATTGTTTCCATAATGGAGTAACTCAAAGGATGTTCAATTAAGCCGAACATGATGGAGTCGGTCGTGTGTTTTCTCTCTGCAGGACCGATGCAGGAGACCGCCATCGACTTCTGGAGGATGGTGTGGCAGGAGAACACGGCAACCATCGTCATGGTGACCAACCTGGTGGAAGTTGGCAGGGTGAGTGTGAAAGTGTGTGTTTGTGCGAACATCTGCATTATCTGTTTACTGAGAGACTCACAAAATCACAGCATCATCTCTGAGTTACATTCACAATCATGCCAATCCGCGTGTATTTCTATAGCACTTAATGCAATACAGACTGTTACACTGTAATAAACAGGAAAATAATTTTTTTTTTAAATTAAGTTATGACAAACTCAGTTTCGGCTCTAAAGCTGCTCTACAGAAGACAATAGAGTCATTATTCAGATCAGTTCAGTTCAATAACCAGTGGTGTACAGTAGCAAAGTATTTTTATATGTTTGAAGTATCTTAGAAGTATCTGTAATTCTTTATGATAATTTTTTCAGTTGCTTACTCACATTTTAAATTTTTCAAAACTTTACACACAAATCCAAGAATTGCACACAAAATGCCTCACATCTCTTGCAAAATGAAGCACTGCATTCAAAAATCACAAACACATCTCAAAAGCAAACATTTGCAAACACCTTTGACATAATATTAATTTCCACTTAGATTTGTGTGTGTTACATAGAGAACTAACTGTGTGTTGTGTTTTGCAAAAAGTGTTTTATGAAATGAGTCAAAGATCCAGTATTAGTGTCTGGTTTTGCAGATTTGGTGTGTTTCTGCTGTTTGAGTGTCAGCTTTCAGAAACTGTGTGACGAGGAAAGATTATTTGTGTAAGCAGCTGAAAAAACTGTGGTGTATTTTTATTTTGGGACACTTTGACTACATCATGAAGCCTAATGTTGTACGTTTTACTCCACTACATTTCATAAACAACATATTGTTCCCCAAGATATTGGTGAAGATTCATGAAGATGCTGATTCTTTCTGCACTAAATGATAAATTCATGAGCAAATTAATATTGAAAAATGTCACTGTCAGCTGTAGTGACATTTTATGAGTGATTTCACTTACAGCATTTTTAATTGTCATAGAAATAATGCCAGTGCTTAATGATCTTCAATAAGATGTGTGTGTGTGTGTGTGTGTGTGTGTGTGTGAGAGAGAGAGTAAACAAGCTGATAAATCACACAGAATGCAGAAAATCTAAAAATGCAGAAAGTCTCCTGTGAGGGGTAGGTTTAGGGGTAGGGCTGGTGTAGGACAATAGAATATACGGTCTGTACAGTATAAAAACCATTACGCCTATGGGATGTCCCCACTTTTCACAAAAACAAACCTGTGTGTGTGTGAGTGTGTCAATCTGTGTGTGAGTGAGTGTGTGTGTGTGTGAGAGAGAGAGAGAGAGAGAGAGAGAGAGAGAGAGAGAGAGAGAGAGAGAGAGAGAGAGAGAGAGAGAGAGAGAGAGAGAGAGAGAGAGAGAGAGAGAGAGAGAGAGAGAGAGAGAGAGAGAGAGAGAGAGAGAGAGAGAGAGAGAGAGAGAGAGAGAGAGAGAGAGAGAGAGAGAGAGAGAGAGAGAGAGAGAGAGAGAGAGAGAGAGAGAGAGAGAGAGAGAGAGAGAGAGAGAGAGAGAGAGAGAGAGAGAGAGAGAGAGAGAGAGAGAGAGAGAGAGAGAGAGAGAGAGAGAGAGAGAGAGAGAGAGAGAGAGAGAGAGAGAGAGAGAGAGAGAGAGAGAGAGAGAGAGAGAGAGAGAGAGAGAGAGAGAGTGTGTGTGTGTGTGAGTGTGTCAATCTGTGTGAGTGTGTGGTGTCTGCAGTTCAGATGTGTGAGATCGACTCCCGCAGGATCACTTGCTGAGTAAATGATGCATTCTGGGCTTCATCAATGTGAAGTGGCCAGAAACTGATCAATGAAGCTCATTATCAGACAGAACAGCACAAACCGCCCAATCCGCAGACAGACGGAGAAACGCTGATTATAATGACAGAACTGTGCTTTATATAAGATATATTTAAGAGTCGCTGCTGAAGAACGGCTGTCAATCTGGAGGTTTCCTGCAATTTCATCTCATCCTTTTAAATAATAAACCATTTGTTTATTTAATGCTGTGAATGAGTTTACCTGATTCACAACGGAAGAGCACTGAAATCAGCTCATTTAATTACAGTCATTAGCAGTCTGATTCATTTAATTACCATTAAAGTTCAACATGTTTAAAGTAGAGCTAAATGCATTAAGACTGAATAAACTTCATCATAACAGTTATATAAAAGACTTATAATTTGATTGAATCATTTACTCTTAAACAGTAGATCTGTAGAGGCTCATAGACTTCAAACAACGTTTTGCTCCTAAAATACGAGTTAAAAAAAAAAAGTTGAAAAAGTCCTGATGCTCATCATGCATTTGTTGCATTTGTCGTGGCATCATAACGATCATGCCCTGTTTGAACAGATTGTGATCAGTCATGGATCTCCTCTGGTCCAGATGTGCCGGTCTGAGCTGGTCTGAGCCGGTCTGTTATATGATGCTGGTCTAATGTGGGCTCGAGCGGCGCTGCTTCCCCACGGAGACCCCACCGCCGCGCTCCACTGACGCCCATCTGCAGCCGCACTCAGCTCTGGCATTCTGGGAGATTCACAGCAGATTAGACCAATCCTAGAGAGAGAGACAGAGAGAGAGAGACAGAGAGAGAGAGACAGAGAGAGAGAGACAGAGAGAGAGAGAGAGAGAGAGAGAGAGAGAGAGAGAGAGAGAGAGAGAGAGAGACTGAGAGACGGAGAGACGGAGAGAGAGCAAGACAGAGAGAGAGAGACAGAGAGACGGAGAGAGAGATACAGAGAGAGAGAGACGGAGAGAGAGAAACAGAGAGAGAGAGAGACTGAGAGATGGAGAGAGAGATACAGAGAGAGAGAGAGAGAGAGAGAGAGTGCAGGTGTGTATCCTGAAGGAGGAATTTTTTTCTGGAGACAAAACACACAAAAATGCATCCATTTATCTATCTATCATTAATTGTTCCATCCATTGTTTATCATTCAATCTATCCATACATTAATAATCATTCAATCTATCCATCCTTCCATCGTTTATCGTTCCATCCATCCATCCATCCATTCTTCCACCCATCCTTCCATGTTTTATCGTTCCATCCATCCACTGTGTCTTCCATCCATCCTTCCATTGTTTATCATTCCATCCATCCATCATCCATCCATCTTTACATTGTTTATCGTTCCATCCATCCATAGTTTATCATTCCATCCATCCATCCATCAATCCTTCCATGGTTTATCCTTCCATCCATCTCTCCATCATTCATCATTCCATCCATCCATTTATCTATCCATCTCTCCATCATTCATCATTCCATCCATCCATTTATCTATCCATCTCTCCATCGTTTATCATTCCATCCATCCATCAATTCTTCCATGGTTTATCCTTCCATCCATCCTTCCATCATTTATCATTCTGTCCATCCATTTATCCATCCATCCATCATCCATCCATCTTTCCATCATTTATCGTTCCATCCATTTATCCATCAATCCTTCCATGGTTTATCCTTCCATCCATTGTTTATCATTCCATCCATCCATCCTTCCATCCATCATTTATCGTTTCATCAATCCAGACATTTAGTATGTTTTTGGAGTGATTTGGTTTATGGGGACACGGGAAGTGTAAACCTCCTAAACCATGTTTACATTGTAGTACCCAAGTCATTATACAGGTATGTGTCCTCATAAACCATGTATTCAAGAACATGCACACACACACACACACACACTCTCTCTCTCTCTCTGTTTCTCACTCACTTACAGACACAGATTCCTAACTGCTGAAATGATCTGATGGTTTTTTTGTCATCTGATCCCGGAGGAGGACTCTGAGATGGAGTCGTTTGGAGGCTCGTCTCAGCGGGAGACTCTCGTGTGTCTCCGTCTCGTGTCTCCAATCACATTCCGGCTCTAATGATGCTGGAGAAAATTGAATTTCTGCACTCGATGTATCTCTGGGAAAAGAAGCAAGTGTCTCCGTGTTTCCTCCTCTCTCTCTCTCTCTCTCTCTCTCTCTCTCCGTCAGTGCTGCTGTTGTGCTCACTGTCTTACTGTAAAGTGGATTTTGTAATCACGTTGTCATATACCCTGTGCTTATGTTTATTCGTGTTCTATTGGATGGGAAAGTGTGTGCGGCTGCAGGCTGAGAGTTATTAGAGCTGCTGTTCTAATACTTCTGATTCTCCTCTGACTGGATTATATTGCCACATAATGAGGTTTTATTTGCGTTGCGTGAGAAGTGTAGTGGAGTTAGAGCTGAACTGAGTCCAGACGTGATCCGGTCCGGTCGCTCTGTGAGTGTCAGACGTGTGAGGTCGGGTATCATGTCACATCTGGAAGTGCAGAACACATTTAGCTGAGCGTAATGTGTGAATGAGAACATTAATGTGTGAATTACATCGCGAGAGATTCCTCAGGAACATCCTTCTGGAGACGCTTTATAGCAGTGCATTGCTGAATTCTGGATTCTGATTGGCTGGCAGATGTTTCAAAAGATGAATAATTAAGTATGTCCATGTTTATTAACTAGGGATGGTTCTAGATCGCCAAATAAGTAATCATAACTTTTAAAATGTAGACTGCCATCATTTTTTGGTATTTATTGATTTATTTATGAATGACAAGATTTGTTTGTAAAGAATACTTTAAAATGTCTAGAAAGAAAATTCTTTTGAAAATAGGCTTTTTTTATTTTCAGCAATTTAATTATTCTAGGTTTGTTTATATTAAAGAAGCACCAAAAAAATGTAATCTAAACTATAACTATCTAAAGCTATCATATAGCCTAGAATACATTAAACGTGTTTTTTCTTTTTCATTAAAAAATAAAGATTAAGGTGTGTGAATTCACATGAATTAAAGTTGTAAAAAAATATCTAACTGGCTGTTTTATTTTATTAATAGACTTAATAGACTATTCATAGACAACGTACCAAATAATACATTGTGGTTTCCTATGACCTACTGGTGTAGCATTTTATGTCACGTTTTAATTTTAATTATATTAATGTAATTACTTACAACACTTCTTAGTCAAAATTAGGGCTGTCAGTTTAATGCGTTTACTTAATTAATTAGTTACGATATCAAATAACACAATTAAAATATTTTAACGCTGTTAACGCTCTGGCCCCACCCCCAGACCTGTACGTCATCTTGCATTTCATACAGCTGACTGTTGTGCGTCTGTGAGCAACACAGTGGTGTTTCGTTTCTGAATGAATCCACGTTTTGAACGAATCGAGTGAATCAATGATTCAGTAGCCCATTTATAGAGAGAGCCGTTTTCTGAATACCTGAATGAATCAGCCATTTGAACGAATCAAGTGAATCAATGATTCAGTAGCCCATTCATATAGAGAGCCGTTTACTGAATTCATGTATGAATCAGCCGTTTGAACGAATCGAGTGAATCAATGATTCAGTAGCCCATTCATATAGAGAGCCGTTTACTGAATTCATGTATGACCTGAATGAATCAGCCATTTGAACGAATCAAGTGAATCAATGATTCAGTAGCCCATTCATATAGAGAGCCGTTTACTGAATTCCTGAATGAATCAGCCGTTTGAACGATTCAAGTGAATCAATGATTCAGTAGCCCATTCTTATAGAGAGCCATTTACTGAATTCCTGAATGAATCAGCCGTTTGAACGATTCAAGTGAATCAATGATTCAGTTGCCCATTCATATAGAGAGCCATTTACTGAATTCCTGAATGAATCAGCCGTTTGAACGATTCGACTCATAAAGACATTTACCGCCACCTGCTGGTAGTTTTAGTTTCTTCTTTAGAGTATCATTTCATTTATAAAAAAATAAAAAATAAAATAAAATAAAAACATTAAGGGTATAGTTCACCAAAAATAAATAAATAAATAAATTCTGTCATCATTTACTCACCCTCATGTTGTTTCAAACCTGAATGACTCACTTTCTTTTGCACAACATAAAAGAAGGTATTTTGAATACAGTTGGTAACTAAGTTGTTTTGGTCACTATTCACTTTCATTGCATGAACAAAAAATACTGAGATGTTTCTCAAATTATCTTCTTTTATGTTCCATACTTTATGTTAGGCCATTGTAGCCTAAACATTCAACACAATCATAGCTTTAAATTATCTTTTGGGGGTATTTTCGCAGCCAAATTTAGTTTGCGATTAATTAGATTACAATTTTTAATCGACTGACAGCCCTAGTAAAAATACTTGTTTAAAAACTCTTTATAAAAAAGTGATTAAGATGTGTGACTCACATTAATTGAAGGTGTAACAATATCTGCTTGGCTTTTATTTGATGATTACATCTCTTGACATTTTAGAGTCATTAAATGAAAATGCTATGAATGTTTTTCAGAAACATGAAAGTATTGAACTCACCCTCATGTTGTTTCAAACCTGAATGACTCACTTTCTTTTGCACAACATAAAAGAAGGTATTTTGAATACAGTTGGTAACTAAGTTGTTTTGGTCACTATTCACTTTCATTGCATGAACAAAAAATACTGAGATGTTTCTCAAATTATCTTCTTTTATGTTCCATACTTTATGTTAGGCCATTGTAGCCTAAACATTCAACACAATCATAGCTTTAAATTATCTTTTGGGGGTATTTTCGCAGCCAAATTTAGTTTGCGATTAATTAGATTACAATTTTTAATCGACTGACAGCCCTAGTAAAAATACTTGTTTAAAAACTCTTTATAAAAAAGTGATTAAGATGTGTGACTCACATTAATTGAAGGTGTAACAATATCTGCTTGGCTTTTATTTGATGATTACATCTCTTGACATTTTAGAGTCATTAAATGAAAATGCTATGAATGTTTTTCAGAAACATGAAAGTATTGATAGAGGTTTATCTGATGCGTTTGAGAAACTGAATCAATGGGAGTTAATGCTGTTGAAGTGAGAGCATATGGAGGATGATCCTCGCGGCATATTGATCTGGAGTTTCTGCATCAATACCTGTGTTAATCAGGAGCACTTGACCTGCTCACCGCCGCTGAAGGGTTCATTTAATGTGATCGGGTGACATTTGAAACCGAGCACAATCACATGCCACCGTTTCAGACAAAAGGTCAGACACGACGTGATTCTGATGCGTGACGTGATAGTGAGACGAGCGAGAGATGCTCTTCATCTCCACATCAGCATTTACTCCTCAGAAAGACTACAAATTTACTAGAATGTACACAGAATGTAAAAATATAATGAATAATCGAATCGGTTTCTTTGTATCAACTCAAATTTGTAGTTTAAATAAACTCAGCTTGTTATTTTGTTTGATTTGTTGGATCAAAATTTGTTAGTTAGGCTACTTAATTGAAGTTAAACCAACAAATAATTTTTGCAATGTAGTGTTTGTTTGTTTTTTCACATCAAAACTGAAAAACTAAAAAAAAAAAAAAAAGAAGGATATAATTAGTTAACATTTACATGCTTTAATTTTTGCTTTAACTTCAAATTCATTTTTTCAATTTTTTTTTTTTTTTAAGTTATACAAGATGCAACTCAGTTTTTAAATCAGTTTAATATATAATATGATTATAACATTTTATATACTGTATACTCTAAACTTGCAATTCTGAGAAGAAAAGTCCAAATTGTGAGATATAAAATTCGGAATTGTGAGTTAATTAAGAATTTGCAGTTATCTTTTTTTTTAATTCCATGGTGAAAATAATAATAATAAAACGGAATTGCAAAATGCTCTCAGAATTCTGAGGAAAAAACTGTCCAAATTGCAAGATGCTTTTTTTTTTTTGATTCTGTTGCAGAAAGAAATTTTTTATTTATTTTTCTTTTTATTGCAAATAAAATGCACTTTGCATTTTTATGCATTCAAATGCATTTTTATTTAATGCACTTTGAATTATCATTTGTGTATGACGTCAGTTGCAGAAATAGTAAACTGCTTAGTGAGGTTTAAGCGGCTTCCTGAAGTTGCGAGCTGGACTCGAAGCCGTGCTCCTCTGATGAAGGTCTGTGTGTGTGTGTGTGTGTGTGTGTGTGTGTGTGTGTGTGTGTGTGTGTGTGTGTGTCAGGTGAAGTGCTGTAAGTACTGGCCAGACGACACCGAGATCTACAGAGACATCAAGGTGACGCTGATCGAGACGCAGCTTTTGTCCGAGTACGTCATCAGAACGTTTGCGGTGGAGAAGGTGAGGAGACGCCCTTCACATCCATTAATCAGCTCCGTCTGACCCGGAACAGATACTTAAACATTTTTAAAAATGCATAATTTAAACTAAGTCAAAAATATGAACAAATTCTGCGCCAATTGAGAAAAATTTAAAATATTGTTGGGTGTGTGGATAAAATCGATTAAAAAAAAAATGCAAAAAGCAAAAAATCCGCACACCAAACGACATGCAAAGTTCACGGTCCTTTTTTGTTAGTGCACTTTAGTTTTTGTTGTCTCTTTCATGTAAATCTTCAGGAATACATTTTTGTTCAAAAGAACTTGGAACTTTGCATTTTGTTTGGTGTGTGGATTTTTTGCTTTTAGTTTATAGTAAGGGAAGAAAACTTTGCACATGCTTCAAGACCCTCAAAATACACATCATTAATTTTTTTCAGATTTTTTACAGTAATTTTATAAGAGATACAACCATTTATTTATAAAAATGTTACATGTTTTTGTGTTCGGGTCATTTTGATGTATGGAGTACAATTAGTGTCAAAAATATTTTCTGGGAAATTATCTATGGAGTTATATTGGTGTCAAAACTTTTGTCAAATATATTTAGCCTTCACACACTTTTGGACTGAATTTTATTGATAAACATGAATATGCCTGTTGATGTGAAAAATTTATCACTTTTTTCATCTGAAAGTGAACATTTATGTAATTTGTTTGAAAATGTTTACACAGTTTTGATGTGGTTTTGTTAGAAAGAAATATGTAGGTTTGATAAGTGTGGACTGCTTTTGATCAATCCTGAGTTTAATGAAAAGCTCTTCACTAGCTGTTTTTGTAGTTTTGGTAGATTTTACTCAATTGTCAGCAGATACAGAGTGTGTAAATGTGAGCGGCTCGGGTGTGATGATGAAGTGTGTGCTCATTAGTAAAGCTCAGGTCTGATGATGATGATGAAGTGTATGAGATCTGATGAAGAAGTCTCTGTCTGTTCTGCAGCGAGGAGCTCACGAGATCCGTGAGATCAGTCAGTTTCATTTCACCGGTTGGCCGGATCACGGCGTTCCGTATCACGCCACGGGTCTGCTGGGATTTGTGCGGCGGGTCAAAGCCAAATCCCCCCCCAACGCCGGACCCATCGCGGTCCACTGCAGGTACCAGAACACACCACATACAGAGACTCTAGCTATAACACCAACATGACTGTCTGACTTCATTTGTTGTTATTTGAACTTTTTATTGTTTTTGAATTATACATTTTGAAAAGCTACGTCTATCAATATAAAAATTAAGTTTTTTATTATTATTATTATTATAAAATGGATCCATGTTTACTTTTTGAAAAATGTTAAAGTATAAATGAAGCACATCATGAAACACTCATTGTAATAAGATTGAACAGAGGTTGCTGTTATTATTATATCAACACTACCAGTCAAAATGTTGAAATAAATTAAGTGTGTGTGTGTGTGTGTGTGTGTGTGAGTGTGAGCGTGTGCGTGTGCGTGTGCGAGTGCGTGTGTGTGTGTGTGTGTGTGTGAGTGAGTGTGTGTGTGTGCGAGTGCGTGTGTGTGTGTGTGAGTGTGAGAGTGTGCGTGTGCGAGTGCGTGTGTGTGTGTGTGTGGGAGTGTGTGTGTGTGTGTGTGTGTGTGTGGGTGAGTGTGGTGAGTGAGTGTGTGTGTGTGTGTGTGACATTCTGTTTTTTATATGTTGACATTACAATCAAGTGAGAGAAGTTGGAACTAATGTAAAAGTTATTTAAAACTTATCAATACATACATAAAACTTGTAATTATGAATTCAAGAAAGATTTTTTTTACTAAACAGAAACTCATTATTATAGTAATTCCGACTCACAAATAAACTTCAGATTCAGTTGAAGGTCTTCTCCAGACAGATGTTGCCATTAGTGTGATTTTGATTGTTTTATTCCCGTGGTTTTATCTGTCGATCTGAATCTGTGTTTTGATTGGTCGCTCACAGCGCGGGGGCGGGCCGAACAGGCTGCTTCATCGTGATTGACATCATGCTGGACATGGCGGAGCGGGAAGGAGTCGTCGACATCTATAACTGCGTGAGAGAGCTGCGGTCGCGCAGAGTCAACATGGTGCAGACCGAGGTACTCCTTCCCTCACCTTTGACCTCTGACCTTCACCTTCACCTCACTGAGCCTGGCAAATACATGTGGAAACGCTGAGAGTATTCATGTTGTCTGAATAATAGATGTTACAACATTGCTGTTGTTTACATTGTGATTGATATTTATATGATATAAATTATATTTTATCAAATATTTATTTTTTATTTTTTATTTCATAAAATATTTATATATAAATATATATATATATATATAGCATATAAAAATGCTATACAAATAAATGTGATGTGAATTATATTAGTTTATATTAAAAAAATAATATTTTTTTATAGCCATAGGCATAAAATCTGTGTTTTTTTAAATATTTATTAGGTTGAACAGAAAGCTGTTAAAGCGCAGTAAATGCATGCATGTCTGATTCCAGCACGTCAAACATGCCGCTGCTATTTGTGACCCTGGAGCACAAAACCAGTCATAATGTTTTATTAAATAAGCTTTCCATTGATGTATGGTTTGTTAGGAGGACAATATTTGGCTGAGATACAACATGTTAAAGCACAGTAAATGCATGCATGTCTGATTCCAGCATGTCAAACATGCCGCTGGTATTTGTGACCCTGGAGCACAAAACCAGTCATAATGTTTTATTAAATAAGCTCTCCATTGATGTATGGTTTGTTATGATCTGACAATATTTGAAAATCTGGAATCTGAGGGTGCAAAAACATCTAAATATTGAGAAAATCATCTTTAAAGTTGTTCAAATGAAGTTCTTAGCAATGCATATTACTAATCAAACATTAAGTTCTGATATATTTACGGTAGGAGATTTACAAAATATCTTCATGGAACATGATCTTTACTTAATATCCTAATGATTTTTGGCATAAAAGAGAAATGTATAATTGTGACCCATACAATGTATTGTTGGCTATTGCTACAAATATCCCCCAGCGACTTAACACTGCTTTTGTGCTGCAGGGACACATATTAACATGTGAACGTCTCAGAAACAGTCGATCAGTCAGATGCAGGTGCTTTAAGAGCCGTAATGCGTTTGAGTTTTTACGGCTCCTGACGGGTTTGTGCAGCATCTGCTGTCGTTTCTCTCGACTGCATCGCTGCGTTTAATGAGCAAATGCTTCAGAGCTGACGTCTGCACTGGTATTTGAGAAGCCTGATTCACCGTGCTGAAGTTCAGTGACCTTCAGACGGTGTGTGTGTGTGTGTGTGTGTGTGTGGTGTGTGTGTTTCGCTCGCAGGTGTTTTGGCACGCTTTGACGCCTGACGGGCACACGTTACCTTTTCACACGCGTGTTTGAACCGTCGCTAATCATTCTGGGTGACACACACTCATTAGAGCTCCGCTGCTGATTGCATGCTTTTTAGGCTGCATTCTGATTGGACGTGCCACCGGAAAGGTCAGAGGTCACGGCGGATGCCTAATCAGAGACGCGCTGACCCCGTCCTCGCTATCTAGTCAAAGCGACAGGCCAAGATGCTGCGGAAATGTCACTTCAGCAGTGATTTCCATCAAACGCTCGTCGCATCACGCATGACGACTCGCTGCTAATACAGTTTGATGTTCTTTCTGTTTTACGCCGTCAAAGTCCCTCGTGAAACAAATGAGTGCAATCACAGCGGCATCTGCATTCGCAACGCTGACAAATTCCATGAATACAAAGCAGATGAAGAGAGAGAAGCAGCACAGCGACGGAGGAAATCAAGCAGTTATGACCTACTGTACTGTTCAAAAGATTTCTGAAAGAGAAAAAATATTATTGCAATTTCAAATAACTGTTTTCTATGTGAATCTCTGTTAAGCGTGTGTGTGTTTCGCTCGCAGGTGTTTTGGCACGCTTTGACGCCTGACGGGCACACGTTACCTTTTCACACGCGTGTTTGAACCGTCACTAATCATTCTGGGTGACACACACTCATTAGAGCTCCGCTGCTGATTGCATGCTTTTTAGGCTGCATTCTGATTGGACGTGCCACCGGAAAGGTCAGAGGTCACGGCAGATGCCTAATCAGAGACGCGCTGACCCCGTCCTCGCTATCTAGTCAAAGCGACAGGCCAAGATGCTGCGGAAATGTCACTTCAGCAGTGATTTCCATCAAACGCTCGTCGCATCACGCATGACGACTCGCTGCTAATACAGTTTGATGTTCTTTCTGTTTTACGCCGTCAAAGTCCCTCGTGAAACAAATGAGTGCAATCACAGCGGCATCTGCATTCGCAACGCTGACAAATTCCATGAATACAAAGCAGATGAAGAGAGAGAAGCAGCACAGCGACGGAGGAAATCAAGCAGTTATGACCTACTGTACTGTTCAAAAGATTTCTGAAAGAGAAAAAATATTATTGCAATTTCAAATAACTGTTTTCTATGTGAATCTCTGTTAAGCTGTAATGTATTTCTGTGATGTGCAGCTGTATTTTCAGCATCATTCCTCCAGTCTTCAGTGTCACATGATCTTCAGAAATCAGTATAATATGCTGATTAATAATTTTTCAAAGTTTTCATTTTCTTAATTACATTAATGACATATTTATATTTGATTAAACATTTATATTAATAATTAAAATGGCTACATTTTAATTCAGATTTTATATTATTAATTAAAAAATGCTTAATTTTCTTTCCTTAATTATATTAAAAATATATTTATATTAAGTTATTTTATTTCTAATATTTTTACATATTTATATTAATTTAACAATTATATTAATATTTCAAATAATTAAATTTTTTATTAAAATTTTATTTTAATTACAAATTAATTACATTAATGATATTTATATTTACATATTTGCATTCATTTAAAATGTATATTAATAGTTAACAATTGTTTCATTTTAATTCAAATCAAGCATTTATAATAATAATAATACTTAAAATATTTCTTGTTTTCAATGTTGGAAACAGTCGTGCTGCACAATATTTCTGTGGAAACTGTGATACATTTTATTTTTCAGGATTCACAGATGAACAAAGTTCAGAAGAACAGCATTTATTTGAAATAGAAATCTTTTGTAAGATTATAAATGTCTTTAATGTCACTTTTGATCGATTTAATGTGTTCTTGAAGAACAAAAGTAGTCATTTCTTTAAAAAAAAAAACGTTCTGTCATCATCAGATAGTCTTCAGTCGTACTGGATCTGCTTTCTTGTGTTTGTCAGGAGCAGTATGTCTTCATTCATGACGCCATCTTGGAGGCGTGTCTCTGCGGCGACACCACCATCCCAGCCAATCAGCTTCGCTCGGTTTACTACGACATGAACCGATTGGATCCTCAGACCAACTCCAGTCCAATCAAAGAGGAGTTCAGGGTGAGACGCTTGCTTGCAGAAGTGATTATTTATAAAGGCTTTCAGAGCTGAAGATATGAAACGCTTTCTGTGTTTCTGCTTTGATTTGATTTACAAAGTGCTGCGGTAAAATATGAGAGTTGTATTGAATATCAGAGCCGCACAATATTTCAGTGAGCGACCAAATCGGTTATCAGGACGTTTTAAAGACGTTATCAGCATTGATTTGATTAGGCCAGTATTAGAAACAGAAAATATCAGGCTTGTTTTCTGTTTCTGCAGCAGACTTCAAGCTCTGAACAGTTCTTCATCTCTTCTGCTGCTTGCACATTTATAGCAAAACTACTGTAAACGAACACATGGAATATTTGCACTTATTAAAAATGATCTGTCAGATGTTGAATGTTGAGTAATGGATATCTCATGTACCCACATTACACAAAATGATTACAAAAATGTATTTTTTACTCAGGATTTTTGTCTTGTTTTCCAAGTCAGATATCAGTAACACTTTACTTACAGCCTTTATGTATAATGATGATAAAGGTATTCATATCTTTTTCATAAGTAACTGTAACCAAAGTTAAAATGCATTGTAATATTTAATGGTTTGATTGTCATGTGTTTTAATTTTATATTTTTATATTATATTTTCTAAAGGTGTAACGATGAATAGATACGTTTTATAATGTTATAAAAGTAATTAATAATAATGAATGCATTAAAAGCACTGTGTGTGTGTGTGAGTGTGTGTGTGTGTGTGTGTGTGTGTGTGTGTGTGTATGTGTGTGTGTGTGTGTGTGTGAGTGTGTGTGT